GCACATGCCATGCTTTATACACATTAGAAAAAGGGGCCCGCTCTGAGCAGACACTTAGGAAAAGGCAAGGTGGAGGCAGCCGAGGCTCTGAGTTCGGGGAGAAGAGCCTGGCTGCATTTCAGCCCCTGCGGGTGCCCCTCAGATGGGCATCCAGCAGGGAACCACCTCGTGGTTTGTGGGTTTGTGCAGCAAGGGCCCTGCTCACTGGCTCTTCCTGCCACTTGGTGGTGATTTCTGCTCCAGACTTCAAACCCAGCCCCATACGTGTCACATCGGGGTCACTGACAGAGCAAGAATGTGTCCCACCAAACTAACCATTTGCCTGGGGAATGTCCTCAAGCTGACTGTTGAGGGAATCTTGCCTGAGGAGATAGGGGTGCGGGGGGTCGGCCTTGGAGCAACTGTGAGGATGGAGATGTACAAAGAGCTGACAGCCAGGCCTGACGGCTATTAGTGGAGTCCTGGTGTGACTACATTTGGTCTCCTGAGGCAGACAAAGAGGGTGGGACCCTTTTCTAACCAGGAAGGAGCCAGACTGGCCAGCCTAGTAAGGTAAGCAGTCCGCTCAGCAGGCACTGATGGAGCACTCACCGCCAGCAAGGCACCAGGCCCAGCCCTGGAAATATGAAGAGTTGTGGGGGTGGTGACACCAGTACAAGCCCAAAGGAGCCTTCTGCAATCCGAGATGCAGATTCACTGGAACTCTGCGTGTCCCAGGAAGACCATCGGCCAAGGTCTTACACAGTATATTGCAAGATTCCTCTTGCATCACTGTTTCATTTTTTTACTTCTTTATTCGTTCTATGTTTCTTATTATAAAACAGGAAGGTTTGGAAAATACAAGAAATAACTCAGAGAAGATAAATTCACCATCATTCTTCCAGGCAGAGATAACCCTGTGGGATTTTGCTGTGTAGTGAGTGTTTTCTCTCTGTGCATCTGAGGCTGTCTGTAGACATAATGATTACTTTACAAACTGTGGATCAGGGTGCACCCACTGTTTTGCAATAAGCATTTAAAAAATTTCCTGGAACATTATTTTCCTGTTCTGTCCTTCAGCTCCCCCAGTGCACACGGCTGCCTCGTGGTGTATTTAGTGCACCTCTTAGTTGCCCAGGGCTTAGCTGTAAAGTGGGAGACACACCCAACCACACACGCTCTCCAGCAGGGGTTCCCAGAAGCCTGGCCTTGCTTCGCTTTCCACTGGTCTGAAGTGAAACAAGAAAAATACAGACCACATAGTTTTTCACGAGGCTAAATACATCCACTATTATTGTAAGATTATGTTCTGTAGACTTTTTGGTTAAACTTTTTCTTTTTGGACAGAGTAAAAAAAGAAACAACCCTATGTAAAAAAAAACCCTTTTTTCTGTGTGTGATTTAGTGTGATTTATAAGGGACTAATTGTGATTTATAAGAGAAAAAATATCCTAACCTGTGAGGTCCCAAAGTCCAGGAACTTCTGCTCTAGGCCTCCAGGAGAACTCAGTCCAGGAGCACAAGCCCACACCATGGCAATAACAAGGATGCCAGGATTTACACCGGCAAAGACCTCCAAATCACAAAACCTTTTCACGTCCGTGCTCGTCTCTCTTCCTGAGGACAGCTAGCCAGGGCAGGTGGTACAGTCCCCCATTCTGCAGATGAGGCAGCAGAAGTGCTCAGTGGGCCAAAGGGAGAGAGGCAGGCTCCCATGGCTGGTGAGGCCCAATGCTGCAGACCCAGGGTCTGGCGGCAAGAGTCTGCGGAGGCCTCGAAAAGCTGCTCTACGCTGCCCCCTTGTGGCATTTGGCTAAATCACCATTGCCCCTCAAAGCTCAGGTTTCCATCTTACCCCATCCATCTTGCCTTCTTTCCATTCAAAAGCACTGACAGGCACTCTGCCAGTTGTCGAGGACACCACAGAAAATGATATATTGTCCCCGTCCTAAAGGGAAACTCACAAAACATAGATGACTATGGGACCACCGAGTAAATACTGCAAAGGGGTCTTGGATGAAATGTCATGGAGGTGGGTGGGGCTAGTAGCTGACTCTCCTGGAGCCCCAAGCAGGATGCACAGAGGAGCTGGTCAGTCATTCAACAGACAAGCACTGAGTCTCATGCAGAAATGAATTGGGGTGGGTGGTGGGGGCAGTGCACAGACATCACGAGGAGGGGAAGGGTAGACGTGGGGAAGACAAGGAAGAAGAGAATCAGTCCCCACTCAGTGCGTTACCTCCCCTCCTCCGGGCCTGTGGGGTTCCTGATGGGCACGGTCACCTGGAGTGTGGGGCAGGGACTGATCAGGCGCATTGCCCTTAATCTGCTTTCTGGGCTTTTTCAAGGAGAAACCCATTAGAGAATTTTCTCAACTCTCTCCCCACAAACAGGGTTCCATCTACAATAAGACACAATGCTTTTTAAGAAAAAATTACTTCTGTTTTTGCATCTAGGTTTGGTAGCTGAATTCATCTCTGAGGCTGCTTTAATGGGCCTTTGTTTCTGCAGAGGGAAAACCAGAGCTGAGTCCTAAGGGGAGGGGCTGTGACAAATCAGAGCCCAAGTGCTCTGTCGAGTTAAGAGAAAGCGTCTTCCCCAGGGACCTGGCATGTCTGAGGAGTGTGTCAGCTCTTCATTTCAGAGGGTGGAGGAGGAAGAGCCACAAGGAGAAGAGGGGACCAGATGGTACGTGGAGCTGCGGTCTGAGCTCAGAGATGCTGAGTGACACCCACATGAGGAGGCTGGGCTCCTGCTACTGGTGGAGGCTTGACGGATGGTTCTTCGGATTTTCAAGGATGAAAACACTCTGGAAAGGAGACCTTAAGATATATCATATTCCAATTCCATACACGTGCACGTGCACACACGCGTGTGCTACAGACATGCTGCTGGGGGATGTAGACATACTTGATGGCTGTCCTTTTGAATCCCATCCTGTGACTGGGAAATTTCCCACATTATGGGTTTAGCCTCCCCAGGGTCAATGGCTGATATTGGCTTTCCCAGCCCCCTTGCAACAAGGCATGTACCGCAGGCTTAGCCAGACACCTCACGGCAGACTTGGACTCTGGGAGAGAGGACACGAGGGCTGGGGCGGCACAGAATCCATCTGGGGGCAAAGGTTTCAGGCACTGTTGTGGGGTTTCCAGCACCCAGTGGCCAGCACCAACGGTGTGAGGTGAGCGCGGTGTCTGTGCCCTGAGGGGTGGATGGTCCACTGGAGCAGCCCCCACAGAGAGGACACTTCCCGACTGGAAGCCTCGAAAACCAGTTCCCTGGCCTGCCCCCCAGAGGTCCTGCGAGTTTCTTCACGCCCTTTTCTGTATAATCCAACAGAGCCGGTTTGCGCGTGAATTTTGCACCTCCTGTGCTAACGTTTTTCTTAACCTCACATCTCTCTGACCTGGTTTCACCAGCGTCTCAATTTCCTAGAAAAACAGCAGCCTGAACTGAGCGCAGGAGCAGGTCCTTCCTTTCTATAACCAGTGCGGGACGCAGGCTGTAAGGCCTGGCGAACTTTCTCCTCCTTCGTTTTCCTTCTCTCTGCTCTGAATTACAAAATCAGCCACTTCCGTCTCGCCAACCACGGCACTTCCCCTTTCTCCTCCGCCCTCGAAATTCCTGCTATTTCGAACAGTTGCCAACACAACGTTTTTCCAGGGCCCAGCATCACCTGGCATTGAAGAGGGACCCTGAGGGAAGGAGTGAGTGTGTGTGTGTAAGGAAGGTGGAGCCGGCAGTCCGGTGCCAAGGAGATGGGGGCGGGGCCTGCTGCCGGGAGCCTCTGCTCCACCGACCATAAATTAAGAAAGAGCAACTTCCCTCTGAAGTTTCACACAGCACTTTCTCTTTTCCTATAACTTAGGACTCGATTCTCTGTATTTTTATGCGTGAAGTTTTTCTTTTTTTCTTTCTCTGTCTCTCTCTCCCTCTCTCCCTCCCTCCCTTCCTCTCTTTCTGGAATGGGGGGGGGGGCGGAGAGGATGAGGTTTTCTGAATTTAGTTTTTCCTAACTCATTAAAAATCACAGGTGGCATTTCCTGCCCCTCACTGTGTGACTGACAAGCACTTGATAAGCATTGACTCTTGGAGGAGGTGAGCAATGCTTTACTATTAATGTCTCCATTTTACAGATAAGAACACTGAGACTGGAGAGTACATTGTCCGAGGTCTTAGTTACAACAAAGAGGAATTCAACTCAAAATTAAACAAACAAACAAAAGAAGGAGGAGGAGGGGGAAAAGAAAGAAAGAGAAAAACCCATGTACTGGATCAGGTAAGCAAAAAGCCCAGTAGGTGGATCTAGCTTTACACACGCAGGATCCAGGTACCCAAAAACCATGTTTGGGCATCTGTCTTCACTGCCCTACTCCCTTCTCTGAACTGGTTCTGTTTTAGGCGGCTCATCCCCTACTGGGAGCACCGAGGCCACAGTAGCTCTTGCCTACTTCCTACAAACTCAGCAAACTTTTTTTCTAACACTTTTGGCAGGGTCCCCAAGGATGGTCTCATTGGCTGGATTGGGGTCACATGCCCATGCCTGGAATCTGCACCAAGACTGGGAGAAGGCAGGGCCTACAGAGAAGAGTCAGAATGCTGAGACCAAAGATGGGAAGGTGATTCTGGGTAGGTGGAAGAAACCCTAGTTGCCTAACTAGTTGCCTAAAACCTAGTGCTGGTTTTTTTTTCAGTCACTAGCTGGGCTGACTTGCAGACTTAATCACAGACCCTTGCTTTTCCCATTCGCAGAACAGAAATAATAATACCCATCCAGTCTCTCTTATTGAATTATAGAAATCAAATTAGACCTTGACCTAAAAAGCATTTGAAGAGTCAAATATAATGTTAAATATATGTTTATATATATATATATATATATATATCTCCTATGTGTACCTTCTACTTGGTTTGTTGAAATTAACTTAAAATCCTCTATATTTTCCTAATTCCCTTTCCTATTTTCCTTTTCAAAAATTCATTACAAAAGTAATACATGCTATAAACAATTTTAAAATATAGAGAATGAAAAATAAAGGATAAATAACCTTAATTTTTATAATATTATAAAATTTTACATATAATTTTATAATAAAATTCCCCCCATCCTTAAAAGAACTACTATTAACATTTTGGTATTCTTTCTTTCTTATCTCTTTTTCTGTGTATGCAGACACATGTATGGTTTTTTATATTACAGATGGCATAATATAATACTGATTTAAAACCTGCTTTTTCCTATAAATAACATCGTGAACATTTTACATGGCATTAAATAGTTTCCTATAACATCAATTTAATGACAGAATGGTCTTCCATTGTTTAGCACAACCCCTCCTGTTAGACATTGGGATTGTCTCTAATTTTTCTGTTAGCAAAAAATACTACAGGACACATCATAACAACTATTTGTCCATATTCATGACTATATCCTCAGAAAATTTTCTAGATATGGAGTTTCTGGGTCAAAGTTTTTGCAACT